AGATGCTTAATAGTCTTTGAATCCTTTACATTATCTGTATAGCCAGGTACTCCCTCAGGCTCCAAGAACCAAGAACAGAGTTGGTTAATAGTCCAATGATAACTAAGCTATTTGTGTGATAGACAACACATAAGAGCCTACCCTAGATCCTTAAACTAATACAGGTAGCCTATCTCTACAGTCTATCTTTGGAACAAATTACATGTACAATGTTTTGACTTTTGATGCCATTATACTTCCTTTTGCATTAGGCACGGCATTATATCAGGATATATTTTTTCCCTTCAAAGTGTACTGTTTCAATGTGCTTAAAACAAACTGTTTGTTTTCAGACTTCAGAAGTTTGCACCAGTCAGGACAACTAAGTTATGCTGAACTGTGTTTCCTTCTTGTCTTTCAATGTTTATTTCTCTGCCACCCATAGCATTTGCAAGGATCCCCACAGCTGACAACCAGTGTGAAGGGCTAAGTCCTCAGTGAAGGTTAGAACACTTTTCCATTGTAGCTTGAATTCTGATTGGTATTAAAATAAAGACTCAGAGCCAGATATCAGTGTAAATGCTGAAAGATCAGAGAGACAAAGGAGCTAGTCACATCATCTCCTATCTCACCAAATCCACAGCCTGGATTGGAGCCAAGTTCCTGTCTCCACCCCATCTCATCACTTCCTCTCTCTGCCCAGCCACATCACTTCCTCTTTCCTTCTCCCATGTGTTAGATTAAATGCATGTGACACCACTGCCTGGCCTCTATGCTTAACTCATGGCTAACTCTGCCCTCTGATTTCCAAGCAAGCTTTATTTGTTAGAGCACACACACACACACACACACAAAAAAAAAAAACATTACCACATTTCTCCTTTTTGTCTAAATTTTTAAAAAGTAGGGTAAAACTAATTTAAGAAAAAGTATATACAATAAGTACATAACTATATACAAAATATACAGGCAATGAGTACATTGTAAATGTCTTGTACATAAACATTTGACAAATTAAGAGAAAATACTCCATAATCTATCCTATCTTGGTGAGTCCAAAAGTTGTACCTAATTCATTTTCTATCCTAATTTGCATTATCAAAAGTATCTTTTAATGTCCCTCAATCCTATACACTTTATGCCTTAGTGAGTATATTATCTGAATCTGTAACATGGAAAACTATAAGTATAGCTATAAAGTTATTAATTCCCTCAGAGATTGGAGAAGGAAACAATATTACCTCAATATGGAGGGAGTGTAAGCAAGTGACTTCCAAAATTGTGAGAAATGGCAGAAACGGTGAGCTGCCTAGACAGTCACACAAAGTTCATCTGTAATGTTGGGGCATCCATCTTTGGGCTACAGGCCTAGACTATATGACTGACTTTTCTGTGAAGCAGGATATTCTGAAGGGCTGTTCTACTTAGTCTTGGCAAAATTATGGCAGCTGCTTTCTTTTGTGTCCTGCTTGTCCAATTTGGACACAAACTGCCAGCAGTCAAGGCAAGAGCACTTTCTTACCCAGTGGCTCTCTTTTGCCACAAAGAAAGTAAACTCCTGTGGATTTTCTTCAATTCCCATCATCTTCTCTGATGTGGATTGGTGCTGCCATGAGCAGACATGTCTCATTGTAAAAAAAAGAACCTTTGTATTAAAATATCTTAAATGTCATATTCTGTAAATCTCTGAAGTGTTTGAAGACAACCTGTCTATCTAAAATATATCTGTTTGACCTTGAAAACATACCTTATATGACTACAAGTTTGATTGTAATGAATAACTACTAACTTGCATTTCTTTATATTCTACTTAGTTGCTAATAATAACTTTCAAGGACTAGCAATTTGTATTACATTGTTAAATGAGTTATATGGGTACAATGCTGGCATAAGAGTAGACATGTTCTATCAAAAATAACCTTAAATTTTTATCAATATACAAAGATCCAAATCCATGTAAAATACTTAATACTAGTAGCTGCTTTTTAAAATGAAATTCAGTAACCTGAATTCTTTTTTAATATTATCATTTTTATATCCCCCTTTTTTTGTTTTCAGAATAGATTCAAAGAGCTACTCTTCTATCCTATCATATTGGTATACTCCACTTTTCATTTCAAAACACGCACCCTGAATCTTATCTTCTTTGTTTAGCTTTTTTCCTGACCATTACCAGTAACAACTTGTAAACAACGACCCTAAACAATGACAAATATCCATAACCTATTGACAGACCAAATCAACCACACAGTCTACTTCTTAGGAATGTTGGTGTTGTGTTCTTAAGATTACTTCCTGCTGTCTGGGTGTGACTGCATCTTTAGGGGATTCTGTAAAGAAATTGGGTTAATTGTCAAGTCCTGGAAGAGCCAACTGTATCATTTGTTGTCCAATCTTTTCATAATGGGAAACAGCAGACTTATTAGCCTGTGAGGCTGGATCATGTCAGCTGGTCATCCTGAAAATGTCCTTAGCAGTTTGCAGTCCAAAGCCAATCTTTAGGTGGTGTTTGTCAGCTTAGTGCCATTGTCATAATCCTGCTAGAATTCTTGCTGTGGGGCCTCATCCTCCTTTTGGAGAATTCAGAGATCACATTAGATCATATTAAAATTTTTCCATGTAGTTCTCTCTTCTTCTTTGGACCTTATTTGTCCAAAGGTCTTTTACTTCCTCAAGATGATTATTATTTTTTTCCTGGAAAGACAAAAACAAAATTCTGCCCAAACACTAACATGGGGGATACCCTTTTGGGAAGTTATATCTGCTCAAATGAAGATCACTTTTTAGTGATATAAATTAGTTTAGATTGAACTGTCATGCTGTTTGATGAACTATCATCTCTGCTAATTAAGAGGATTCTCTTGTTCAAATCTAATCATTATCAATTTTTATTTATACTTTCACTTGAAATATTCATTTTGTTTTTGAAAGCTGTTTTATTATTGAGAGCAATATGATGTTTTTTTACAGTAGGCATTAAGTTTTTAATTGCTATGAGAAGGAGTTTCCTCCATGATGACAGGAAATGACTGAACCCAAATTGACATGGTGGCTGTGACAGGCCCCTCAAGGCATTTCTGAATGGTGAAGCGTTACTTTGACTGTCCCTCATTGATTTGCATTCATTGGTGCAATGTCTGCCTTTGCCACACCTTCTGCATAGTCCAGCAGGGAGCGCTCTTCTGTTGAGATTATTCTTAGAAAAAACATTTGATTGTAATGAATAACTACTAACTTGCATTTCTTTATATCCTACTTAGTTGCTAGTAATAACTTTGAAGGACTAGAAATTTGCATTGCATTGTTAAATGAGTTAGATGGGTACAATGCTGGATTTCTGCCTCACCTTTGATGTGCCATGTTTTGTTCAAACCAGTGGGAGGCTAGCCCATTTCTGAATGGATATGAAGAGGAGTGGAAGTCAGGGCTAGATGGGAAGTCACAGGATACTAGAAGGAGAGTAGAAGGGGAAACTGCAGTGGGTAGGAAAAAATTTAAAAAGTTATAACAATAAAATAAAATAAAATAAAATAAAATGACGGGGCTTCTTATCCCATTTGGTCATCCTAGGATTGTATGGAGCACATCATACTTCTTTCTATCTGCACTGGACAAACTAATATCTGAGTCATAAACACATTTGTCTTTTGTTAAATCTCTTAAATTTAAAACAGTTTTTAAAAAGATCACCTACTGTGACATGTACTTTTTAGGAGTAAATAAATGGATGCATTGACCACAGATTTCTTATTTGATTTGGGTTATTGAAAACTACTAGTTATGAAAATCAAGTCCAGATATGAGTCACTAGTTGTTAGTATAGATTCACTCTTAATTTTAAGACCTGAGTAAGTTTCAATATTTTGCCAAAAGTCCTTTGAAAAGGGACTTCACTATAACGAAAATCAAGTACTGTGAATGTTTTCCCCACATCAATAATCATAGTTAGATCTTATGGTCCCCAAATGATAAATGTAAAACCCGAGTCTCAGAAAATTACCCCGGAGCATACACCTAGAAACATCAGACCTGGGAATCTAGCTTACATTCTCAACACTTAGATAAGACTGGGTTGTACTGTGTTGGCTCTATCATGCTCATGCTCTGATATGTGCAGGAACAAGTTTCTGCCCCACTAGTGAACTCCCTAATAACCAGATGGAGACTTACTAATTATGAAACCTCAGCAGATAGCTTAAGTTTGTTTTTTCCTAGTTCTCATAGCTTAAATTTACCCATATTTTTAAATCTACACTCTTCTAAGTGGCTTAGTTTTCCTTATTTCTACTCCCTATCCTACTTTCTCTCTGTCTAGATGGTGACTGTGCCCTTCTTCCCAGTATTCTCTCAGTCTGCTTCTCCTGCCTAACCTATTCCTGCCCAGCTACTAGACAGTTTGCTCTTTATTAAACCAATGAGAGATATAAACTTATCTTCAGAGTGTAAAATAGATTATGTCACAGCAGTGATGCATAAGTTGGGATCATTTATCAACATTTTTTTATGCAATGGCACATTGGAAATTAAGTACTTACTAAGGCTTAGATGTCTGCTTCTAGGAGATACATTAGTTGACTGTCCCTCAAATCAGTATAATATAGGGCAAGAAGACAATCTGTTTCAGCTTTTCTTTTTCATTTAACAAACACATTTTATCATATATCAAAACAAAGAAAATGCAGAAGAGGATATATGGGGTAGTGTCCCAGTTATTTATTTATTTATTTTTGTCAGTTTGAAACAAGATATATTCATTTGGGAAGTGGAACTATCAGTTGAGAAGATGCATCCACACAAATTGCCTGGAGGCAATCTGTTGGGAATTTTCTTGTTTCAAGGTTAATGTGGGAAGGCCTAGATTGCTAGGAGTAGTTTCACTTCTTTCGAGGTCATCATAAATTGCAGAATAATGCAGGCTGACCAAGCCATTAAGAACATTCAAGTATGTGGTGAAACTTCATTGCATCTGTTTCATTTCATTCATCCATGTTCCTGCCTTGGATTCCCTTAATGGATTGTGACCTGGGGTATTTAAGATATGTTAGCCAAATAAACACTTTACCTCAATTTGCTTTTGATCATGGGGTTTTATCACAGCAACAAAAAAAAGAATTTAAGATTTTTAGTGTGTACAAAGGTTGTGAGAATCTTTCTGGTAAAGCATGTGCATTCATCTCTTGACTCTAGCAGATAGGGCACCAATGACAGATCCAATAAATGATCTAGACAGGTCTAATTTATTGAACTAAGAAGGTTATTATGATTACTTACAGGATCATGGTGTTATGGGTGTGGGGTCACTCAGAGATTCACCTCTCTGATCATTAATAAATTTTAAGAAAGCAAAGGCGTTTATTTACATACTGACACCAGATATATAGTTGAGACTTGGAGCTCTCAAAGCCAGCCCCAAGATACCTCAATCGGGATTTTAAAGGCAGAGTACCTAACATTACACTCTATCTTCAGGCAAACAGAAGGTCATCTGGCACAAAGCAAGCTTTACTTTACAGAAACATGCAAAGAAGTTTTTTTAAAGCTGTGCAAGACTAGGCAATTACAAAAATGAACCCTTAGCAGGCTTTAACATTTCAAGTCTAATTTCACTTTATAGTTTGATTTCTCTCCAAACGAAAAGTGAGAACCATAGCATTTAAATATAGGAAATCCACATTCAGATCCATTTCAGAACAATGACAGATGGCACCAAAGTTAGAGAATTCTATCCTATGATTTCAACAAATGTTTCACTGCATCTGTTCATTTTTTGCTTCCAAGAGGGCTGAGGTCTTTACAGAAGAACTCCTGATATCTTTCTTTGAGAACTCATAGGGTACCAACAGTCTTTGATCTCAGCTTGTCATTTCATAACTCCCATGCACACCATGATACATATGAAAGCTTCCTTGGGCTGTGAGGAGCTGGTCCTGATAAATTGCTGTTTGAAGATCCACTGATCAAATTCTGTGCATGTCACATTTTGCGTTTATTTTCCTTCAGGGTCCTAAAAAGAGGCTAATGTTGAGTGCTTTTATATGAACATATTCTTGTGCAGTATGAGGGGATGTAGGACACCCTTCATGGGAAAGTGTGAGTTCATGAGGACCTATCTCTTCCAAATTCATTTTACTTCAGACCCTTGGTCATTGATGCTGCATTTTTAGAGGAGAGGAGTAATTAATAACACCTAAGAAAGCACTTTGCATGTTCATTTCAAATACCAACTTATTAATTAGAGATATGGTAAAACCCAAGTTTTCTCTTCTCCCACACATGAGAACCAGATGTTCTGTATCTCTATTTTCCAGCCCCATCTCTTTCTTGCTCTATGCTCCTAGTTCTCTCTTTAGTGCTCTCTCTTTCATAAAACCTTCTTCTAGATATTAGTCTGCTTTGAATGTGAATATACAGTGGAGATTTAGTCACTGCTCTGAGAGCTGATGGAAAGAACAAGGACTCAGCTGTTCTCTCTGCAAAGACCCACATCAGTGTCCCTGTCCTAGGCCAAGTAAATGAAGACCACACACCTGTATTACTCCAGGTTCAGTTTCTCATGCTACTCAGATGACACTCATTGCCTTCTTCATATACATTCCTTTTTGCATGGCACCAAGAATGGATGAGGAAAATGAGCAAGAAAACCATCATGTAGAATGACAGTCTAATCAGAATATACAGGAGCCCATGATTATCTGATGGAACAAATGAATGCAATAAATATGATGACAATCATAAGATCCCTGTAATAGATTGCCTAACATTTATTGATAGATGGACAACTAATATATTATTAATCTTTATGACAAGATTCTTGATGAAGACACTACTATTCTCATTCTGCTAAATGCACACAGTATTAAACTGGCTCCTATGACTTCGCTTTGGATTCCTATTTTAATGCATCTCTCAAACCTCAGCAGGGACGTTTATATTTGCAATATATGGTGATCAATACAGGTACCCACAATAGCCAAAGTGCAGTGCAACATGAATCTTAAATAATCTTATTAATAAAAAACAATGCTTGAGTCAGGTATTGGGGTGAACACTGGAAGATCAGAGAAGCAGAACAAGCCACAGCTTCCTCACCTCCCCAATTCCTCAGCTGATCTTGTTTCCTCAGACTGGAAGTTTCTGAGTCCTTATCCAAATGAATCTCAGCTGAACTGCTGCTCAAAGCCTACAAGCTTAACCAGCTCTAGTTCCTGGTCCTCACGCCTTATATACCTTTCTGCTTTCTGCCATCACTTCCTGAGATTAAAAGCTGTTACCACTCCTGTCTGTTTCCAGTGTGGCCTTGAACTCACAGAGATCCAGTCAGATCCCTGCCTCCAGAATGCCAGGATTAAAGGTATGTGTGCCACCATTTTCTGGCCTCTGTATCTAGTGGCTGTTACTTTCTCTGACCCCAGATTAGTTTATTAGGGTGCACAATATTTGGGGAACAAAATGTCACCACAGTGCAGAGCATAAAGGACTGTGGAATGCTTGGCTCTAAATATGACATTTACATGACATCTAAGTCTACAAATGATCAGTCTTAATTGTGAAAATGTTGGACCAAAAATGACTGAATGAGGTTTATGATAATGAAAAAGAAATAGTATCCACTGGACACAAGAAGGAAGTTGCACATATGAATTCAAATGCAGATGTGACAGCATGCACAAGAACAGTACATGTGCAAGGTAGACCAAACCCTAGCATGCACTGAGGCTGTGGACATGAAGTCCCACCCTTAGACAAGGGGCTATAACCAAATGATAGCTGTTAGGAGAGTCAGTTTCAAGAGAGTTGTGACAAGTAAGTGGACCATGCTCCAGTGAGATGTCACACATTCATGAATATATGAACATCACAAATTGAACTTCATGGACAAAAGAGATAACAGCTGGGTTGGGTAGGTCCAGGAGGATTTGAGTAAGGGAGTGTATATGATTAAAGCCTATTGGTTGAAATTCTCAAAAAACTAATGCAAATCAAGTAATAAGAAATAGGGATTTAGTTAGCATATGTGCTATGTCTATGTGTTCTGCATTATCTCACATGAAATTCTAAGAATAAATATAACAAGTGCTCTATATGGTATGAATGGAGGTAAGGAGGAACATTCCAGAATATCCTGTGCTCTGCTTCTGCCTACACTACAAATGCCATATAGTTTAGCTGTGTGTTCCTATGCCTTCAGTGTATAAAATCCATAATTGTCTGTCTTTCATGTTCCATGAAGCACTGTGCAGAAGGAAAGTATTGATGCAATGCATTGTCATTCACAAAATTCCTTGACCGATAGACTCCAATAGCTTGAAACCTCAATTTTTATCTCTTAAAGCTTACTTCTAAGTAATTCTATTTCATGTGACTTGTGCATAAGTTTTCTATCTCATCACCCCTATGCCACTGACAGAAAAATGGCAGGACACAATATAATGGTCACGCGTTCAGTGTCTTAACTGAGATTCATATCAGTGAACATTGAATCTCCTGTGGAATTAATATATCTACAACACCACTGAACCAACATTAACTTCTCTCAAAGGGAAAAAGTGAAGTCAGAGCTATTCTGTCAGAAGTAGTATTTTTATATAAAATCCTCCCTTCTGCTCACTTGTTTCCTTCTTCAGTCCCCATCCCCTCCTCTCCAGGAGGTAGTAATGTTCTGCTTGCTTCCTACCTTTTTCAGGCCAGATCATCCCTCGTCTGAACTATAGAGAGGAATTATCACTTCACTTTTATTTAGAAGAGAGAAAATTTCCCCTTCTCTTCACTTACAGGGGACTCAAGTGAAGACATAAGGGATTGAGAGTCCCCATGGATCCCATGGTGCCAGTGAATAATTTCTGATTTTGCTGAGTTTGAGAGTCAGAGAAGAGAAGTGACTGGGCAAACTTTACAGAGCTGTGAGGAAGCTGACACAGCACATGGCCCCAAGAGATTTGTTTACCTCCAGTTTTACATAAAAAGAGGAATAATTTATTCACTAGTTTGGGAGTCTTGTTTTCTGCAGGAAGAACAATTTCTGGATGTGTTTACTATGTAATGGGAAGAGGAGGGAGGGAGAGAGAGAGAGAGAGAGAGAGAGAGAGAGAGAGAGAGAGAGAGAGAGAGAGAAGAAAGAGGTTATCAATGATGCTGTCTGTCTTCCTCTTATGTAAAGTTCTTTCAGGTTGTTCAGTGACCAGCACCCACTTTACACTTTACCCTTAGTTCTGAGTGTCAGTGTCATAGGAGGCCTTCGTATGGTTTGCTTAGAGGCTGGCACTCTGTCCTTGGATTTCAAGTTATGATGAGACAATAGGAATACTGTGGAGAGATCTATGTGATTGAGATATCAGGAGGGCTGTTCCATCTCTTCTCTGCCCAACTCATCCCAATCTCATCCATTATGAGTCTTTCTTGACCACTTTATTTATCTGTATGTACATACAATGTTCTGGTGTGTCTGGCCAAGCAAGTTCAGGACTGTTTGGGATGCTCCTGGTCTATTAATTTGTAGTCTGATATCCTTACTCAAACTTCATCTGCTTTTATTAAAAAAGTTTTTAATTGATATAAAATTGTATCCCTTCACTCTCCCTTGCATCTTTCCAGCACTTCCCAGGTATACTTACTCCAAGTTTCCATATCACCCACCACTCTTAAGTTGTTATTCTCTTTTTCTTTGATTATTATTTTTGTATGTGTTATAGTGTTCATATATTGATATATTGTAATGTTTATATATAATGTATATATAATACTCTTGCTGAGTATTGTGTTTTAATACACACCACACACACAAACACACACATATGGAATAAACACATATGTACATATATACATATATATGAATAACTACAGGAAATTGTCTCTGGACACAGTAGGGCAGACACATATATGAACTCCACAAGAGGTTGTGACTGCAATTCCATGACCAGTGCAAGCTCAAGTTAGAGAAAATCCTAGCATGGGGACTGGAGGTGACATGAAGTCCCACCCCTAGCCAAGGTAGTATAGACAACTGATAACTATTCTGAGGAGAGTCAGTTTTAGGAGTGTTGTTACTAGTAAACTGACTATGGCCCAGCAGAACGTGACACATCCAATGATATATTTGCATTATGCCATTGGCAGAAACCTGTAGGACCCTATGTGTAAATCACTTGTTCAGTTTCTCCATCTGAGATTGACACCAGTGCTCAGCTAAGCTGCTTTGCAACTTCTACTTCTACAACACCTTGAACTAGACATTGAATTCTCTTGTAGGGAAAAAGCGAAGTCAAGACTATTTTGTCAGAAGTAGTATTTTTATATAAAAATCCTCCCTTCTGCTCACTTGTTTCCTTCTTCAGTCCCCATCACCTCCTCTCCAGGAGGAACAGAGCTAGAATGAGCACTTCATTGATCCTGGGAAGGGAGAAAATTTACACTCCTTTTCACTCACCAAGGTCTCAGGTACAGAAATTAGAGATGAATAGTCCCTATATTCCCCATGCTGCTCTAAATAACATATAATGTTGATGAGATCAAGAATCAGAGAGGGGGATGATGATGACAAGAACACAGAGTCAGGAATGTGCTTAGACAAAAAACCCAAAGAGCATTTTGTCCCTAATTTTCCACAATAGAGAAGAGGAATCAGTTACTCACTAGTTTTGGAGTCTGCTTCTGTGCATGAAGTGCAATTTCTTGCTGAGTTAACTAGAGAAGGGGACAGGAGAGGGAGAAAGTTCATCAGAGGCTGTCTGCCTTCCCCTTAAGGAAAGTTTTTTTTAAATTTGGAGAGTGAACACCACCCCCTCCACCTCTTAGTGCTGAGCCTGCAGAGTTATAGGGTGACTTTTAGTGGTTTGCTTCTAGGTGTTGGCTCTCTCCTTGGATTTCAAGTTTTGATGATTCATAGGACTGCTGTGGGAAGATCTATGTGAGTAAGAGTTCAAGAAGGGTGCTCCATCCTTGGTCTGCCCAAACTGATATGAACCTCATCCCTAATGTGTCTGTCCTGACACATTACAATATCTACCTCTATTTATAGATATCCCAGTATGGATGCATATAAGTCATATAAGAAGTGTTCAGGAGGCTGTCTGTCTGTTATTTTGTAATCTGCTACCAAGTCCCAAATTCCATGTTTTTTTACAAAAGATTTTCAGTTGAAATATAATTCTTTCCTTTCCCTTTCCTCTCTCCAGTCCCTCCCAGAAACCCTTCCACCAAGCTTTCTCATATCCTCACAATACTCTTAAATTGATAGCCTCTTTTCCCCTGAAAATTATTGTTAGATATATGTCTAAAGCTATGTATATTCACTTATATATGTACACATGACATATATACACACCTATACATGCATACATGTACACATATACACATCACATATGTATACACACATATATAAATGTAACACACACACAAATATATGTTTAATCCCACACAGATGACATTAGGACTCACAGCAGTCCTTTGTAGCTCCCAATGCTACTTTCTCTCTATCATCTATTGGAGGATTCTGAGACATGGCTTCAGTATTTCATTAGTCACAAGATATGAGATATATATGAAGTTCTCTTACCTGTGACAGGAAGGTACAAGGGATCACTTGGGGTTGACCACAAATGGGAAGAGTTCCTGAAAGAGCCATAGCATCTGTAGTACCCTGCCTGGACCACAGGACCAAGATGGAAGTTGGCCTGGAATGTCCTATTGTGGTTCAGGATTGAAGGCAGCCCATATTCCTTGGGTACCCCTTTCCTGGACAGATGAAACATGTCAAACTGAAGGTCAGAGACACAGGACAAGGTCATGTTCTCTCCTGACATCACCACAGGGCCCATCAGTGATGACAGAGAAGGTTTCTTGTATAACCCTGGAAGAAAAGAGGAAGATGGAGTTAGTTACCAGCGTTTATTCACTCCTGAGTGTTTCCCCTACCAGCTTCTATTTTTTGTTTTCTCTCTGCCTCTTACCATCTTCTCCTCTCTATTTCTCCATTTCTCCTCTCCTCTCTTTCTCTCATTCTCTCTATTTTTATGTTACCACCTTTAGTCTATGACCTCACTCTGAACTCAAATATTTTATGCCAACTTTTGCTTATTGACATTTTCTGCCTCTATTTGCATTGGCTCATTCCATCTGTCTTTTAAAGTTTGTTTTAATGAGCATAATTAATTTTATCTAGCAATAACTTTCATTATGAAATATTCATATGCATGCAAAATATATTTCTGTGCTTGTTTTGAAAATATTTCTTAATTTTTGAAATTGAGCTATATAATTTAATGTATTTATATCACTTAATGTTTTTAAAAATTGTTGTTACATATATTTATAGATGTATACTATTAACCATATTAATGTTATTATTCTTTCTTGACCCTCAACTTCCACTAATCACACTCATTTTTCTAATTGGTCTTCTCTACACTTTCATTTTTTCAATTATTTTGCAAGTAAATGGGTTCAATTAGAGTTACTTATGATTTTGTTTTAATTAGCAGACCAAGTAACAGTCTTCATTATAATATCCTCATACAGAACCTTTTGTTCATTTTCTTCCCTCTTCCCTCCTTGTTCAGCATTGCTGATCTCTTTACTCCCCTCATTTCTTCCTCCATGTCATACATCTGTCATTTCTTTCCCATCCCTCTCTATGAAATTTTTTTTCCTCTCATGGTCACTTGCTAATTTCATGACCTTTAACTTTGTCATCCTTTGTATAAAAATCTAGAATCTAATGTCATCCTCTTTTTCATTCTTGTATCTGTTTACATATCTGTGTTAATTAATATCTCTTTTCAAAGTACATAATACTCCATAAATATCTATATTTATCTGGAACAAAGGCCATGGTGATCTTTCCTCTCTTGTTCCTCTTAGTGTGTGTACTGCTCAAGTGTGATCTATCATGTGCTTTCCAAGCACTTAGTTCAGAATTTTTTTTGCTTTTACCTTTTAAGACTTCTACCAAGAGAGCCAGACATATCATGTGTCTGACAAACTCTTTCTTGAAATATTTAATATCTGCTATAATTTTTCCATCTCTACTATCAAAGTTTCCATGCAGGCTTCTGTCTTTGTGCAGATTTTCTCTTAGCACACATTCCATATTTACTAATTTTCAGCCCTTCCTGGGCTCCACCTGTGTGAAAGCTTAAAGACTAATTAAGTACCAGTCCAATTAAGTATCTGGACTCAGGTGTGTCTTGCTCTTTTGGTAGACTTCTTATAGAGGTAGAAGTCAATAATTTTCTGAATGTCACTAGAAAGACTTCATTCCCTCTGGTTCATATTATGCTCACCTAATTGTCATTTCCTGTTTATATCTACTTATGATTCCTTTGCACCTCCCTGTATCTGTGCTTTATGTTATAAGCAAGAGTCTGTTCTTGTGTATTTCCTTTCATTGTCTATGTCAGTAAGACCCTTAACAAGGTTGCCTTTATATAAATTATTTACATTCCTTTTTCTGGTGACCTGCCACAGTTTTTAGTGTATAGAATATTTTTCTGTATCACAAAGAGAATGATGAGCAGGTAACATATTCTTACCTGTGATCTTTATGTCAATGGGGTCACTGGATTCAGACCACTCATATGGGGAGTGATTGTAAGAACCATAGCATGTGTATGTCCCAGCATCATCAGGTGTCACAGGACCTACTGAGAAGTTGGCTTGGGAACCCCCAGGATGATATTCTGCAGAAAGCTCAAAAGAGTCTTTGATTGTTCCAGTTTTATGTGAAGTCAAAATGAAGGTGTCAAACATAATCTCTGATCGACACTCCAGTGTCACCTTCTCTCCTAAATCCACCAGGGGAGGTTGTAAGGCCAAGAGGAAAGGCTTCCTGTAGATTCCTAAGAATAAAAAAAATGTATGAACCTGATCAAAATCTCTGTGGCCTTGAAGACCCGTGGTTCCCCCTCAATTGGTCTGTTCTCCCTGTTAGTACTCCAGTGAATTTGTTTTTGTCTGCTTCCACTCTAGACACAGCCTACTCCATCTTTGTGTCCATTTCCCACTTATTTGAGTCTAGGATTAGCACAATATCTTCCCACTGGCTTGTTATGACAATGTGTCTTTTTAATACTACTTCCATAGGCCCTATCATCTTTTTCTAAGATAGGAAAGTGCAGGAAACATGGCAAGCTTCACACCAGGCTGCTTTATGTGTCTTTTTATGCAACATTGGATTAAGTATAATCCTTGGTAGGATAAAGGAATTGGTATTCAACATAGTTATGAGGGAAAGACTTCTAGCTCTCACTGTGGTTCAAACTCCTATAAGGCATTCCTAATCCAGGATCATGAACATTGTTTCCTCCAACACATTGATGAATTAGCATCCTGACTTACTGCTCTCAGAGCATCCCTTTCCTCCATCTTAATTTGCCCTTGACATAAAAACCTATATTATTTTCCAGTTGCTATCTTAACAAATTACAACAAATTTGTTTCTGAAACAGAATACAATTATTGTGGAGATCAGAATTCTGAAAAGCTCAAATGGCATAAATCAGGTTTCTTCAGAAATTGTATCTACTGAAATCCCTAAGAAAGTGTCCATTTTTTTTACCTTCCAGCTTCTAGAGCCCCATGCATTCCTTGGCACCTGGACCCTTCATCCATGTTTAGAGTTAGTGACAGGGTGTCTCCTTCATGATGATTTCTTTGGCCCACAACTGAATTTTTCCTTATTTTGTTACACCAACCCTTGAAGTTCTACCACCTGAAATAATTCAGGATATTCTTGCATCCTGATATCAATTGTTAAAAATCTGAGTTCCATCCTCCAGCCCAATTTTCCTTGACTTATTTAACACACAGGAAGCCTTAGGGAATAAAAAATGTATGACCTTGTATATTTTATTATGCCCAGAACATTATCTATTTTTCTGTGTTGAATACTCCTTTATGAGTCCAAACCTCTTAGTAACACTGTTTCTGAAAATTCCAAGGTTGGGAGTTTTGGGGAAATGAAAGGCATTCAAAACATCATCTCGAACCTGAAATTATAATCTTCACAGGATCACTGTTGGCTGAAATTTTAATAGCGTAATGATAATTCAAGCCATAGCATCTGTATGTCCCTGCATGTTCTGATGTCACAGGTCCAAAGACAAATTTTTTCTGGAATGGTCTTTCCTGGATTGGAGGGATAGGATTACCAAGTTCTTTGTACAACTTGAATGTGTAATAGTCACTAGGAGAGTCACATTGAAGTTCCACACGCTGTCCCAAAGGAACAATATGGCTTGGCCAGGCTGAGAGTGAAGGCTTGCCATGATATCCTGCAGAGGGGTGCACAGAGAAAATATTTAATGTTGCTCCTTCCTCCCTGAGAGCTAAATCTCCAATTGTTCTCTTCTTTGCTGTACTTTGTATAACACTATTCTCTGATTTGATACATGAGTTCTTCAATGAAAGAGCCTGAGATGTTCAGGAGATTCAGAAAGTAAACAAACTTTCTATGTCATGGAAAGGTGAAACATTCAAGAGTTATCAGTGGCCATTCCTAATTCTATAGAAAGATTGAGACCCTGGACCAGCTGAGCTCTGAGTGCTAATGTCTAAGAACTGTTGGGCTTCCTGCAAGTTGTGCACTGAGCGCCAGGGTTTGGCTTCATGATAATCACTCATATTGGGGTGTGCTTTAAGTAAGGTTTGAGTCACCCTTGCTTCTGTTAGTAACCCCTAATCCACATTGCTATTAGTAACACAGTAAACCCATAGATTCACAGAGTAATGCTTTGGTGCAATCACTGTTTGCTGGTAGACATCTTGCAACACTGGCTACCCAGCAGTCATTATAGACCCTAGCCAGGGACTATTCTTCATTGCAGAGTGTTTTGAGGCCCCTTAAAGCAGCAGTAAGTACATCTAGGAACAGCGTCTGATCTCAAAATACATGAAGGATCCCAGCTGAAATACAGAAGCTGACAGCAAAGTCAGCCTATCCAGGGTTACACCAAGTTGACCTGACTAATATCACCAGTTATACTAAACAGTAAAGGTCTATTTACCAACAGTGAACTCCTTTATATGGCAGAGGAGTTTATTATTAATAGTGCACAGTCATCCACGTATAAGAGCATAAGAGTTAAAATCAGAGACATAAAACATTACAGAGAACAATGGTGAGGCTCAAGAAGTAAACACAAAAGAAAGAGAAACCTATAAACCCCATGATGAATAATTCCCAGAGTGTTTTTTAATTAAGTTACAAGTCTAAGAAACCACCACCAAAACCTGGGCAGATATCTGTTGCTCATGGACAGGCCCAAGCAGTCAGAAGAATAGGTGAAGGCCACACCAGCATGAAGATCAGATAGGCTGCCCTCCACCACATGTAGCTCTCTGAATCAGTAGGTTCAGTTTCCCAAGTCTCAATATGCCACCACCATTCTTGACCTACTATCCAGCAAAACTTTCAATCACTGTATATGGGAAAAGCAACATATTCCATGATATAAGCCAAATTTGACCAATATCTACCTCAAGATCCAGAAATACTAGAAAGACATTTCCATCCCAATAACTTCAACTACACCCATGTAAAAACAGGAAATAAATAATTTCACACTAGTAAAGGCAAATAATGGAAGAACATGTATGTTCATGTACTTGCCAACACCCCCACAC